GGAGGGTCAGTAACATAAATTTTTCATTTGATATTTAGATGGCTGTATTGGTTTCCCTAACTAATCTTGTTAGGTCTGAGTTTTCTGTTCGGTGGCTAGTGATTGATACTTAAAAGTGTATTTTTATCAAGGTTTTATATCATCATTTTGCAATTGAAGTATCAATAACTCCTTAACTAAAATATGTTTTATAATAATGTATCTAATAATATAAGATACCTATAATTTATGGTAAATGTCTATTTTTAATGCAGACTTATCACATAAATGAAAGGATTGATTGATGACTTGAAGAACTTAAATTGCAAGGATAAAGAGATGGCCAAACTTAGAAAAGAGATGTCGGTGCAATCCAAACCGGAACACTGTTCGGTAATTGGGTCATATCTAGAGCTATATATCTCAGATTTAGGTCAAATTTATATGGATGGAAAGGTAAGACATAGGCCTACAACTTTCATATGGAGCCCAAGATCTAAAAAGGCCATTATCAAGTCCAAATTGTAGCAACAACAAAGAAGCCCGAATCTGTCTTCCAGCCCGAGCACTGTTCGGTATTTTGGCCATATCTAGAGTTCTAGAAGTCCAAATGAGCTGAAGTTTTTACACAAGAAAGCTGAGACAATTGCCTACAACTTTCATGTTTACAACTGGCTCCAATTTTGACGTTATCAATGACGTTTTGGGCAGACAAGAGAAGATAAGGATTGTCACCAAGTCAAAAGTTGGTCACCCACTTATCAATTAGTCATCAAATCAATAGTTCCCATTTTTGGCCTATAAAAGGAGGCATTTGCCATGCATTTAGGCATCTTGATTTCCAGATCAAGATCATGCTCTTCCTTTCTCTCTTTGTATTTTTTATGCTTTGTTTTCATTAATATTAAGTTTATGCCTTTCATTTCCTTTCCTTTACTTAGTTAACTTTTATGTTCTTATTTTGTTTATCTATTTTGCTTTCTTTCATTATGTCTAGCTAAGTTAATTATGTCAAGGTGAAAAGGTTACACTAATGGTGTAAGAATAAGTATAATGTAAACTTAATATGGACTTTAATGTTTGATACTAACATGTTTTATATTTGTTATCTTGTTCACTCTTTAATACTTTGCTTGTTAAATGACTAATCTTGATTTATGTTGTATAACACTTGGTACAACAAATGCTTGGCACTTTCATAGCCCATAATGTATGGTATAACCGACACCTGAGCTATGAAAGGAACTTGATTTATTGTTAACATAAGTTATAATCATGAATGCTTGACGAGATTTACAAGTATTAGCATTAATTGAATAAGATGACTAATGTAATCATGTTAACAATATATAATCTGATTGGAACCTCCTTTGTGTGTGGTTTCCAATTCAATAATAAGAGTTTATACTATACTTGTTTGATATACCATTAGTGGAACCTCTAACCTTGACATTTGTTAAAAAAAAAACTTTTTTAGAATTCTTATTAGTATCTATACCATATTGTCATCCCACGTCAAGTCTATTACTAGAAGAATTTTTTTTCTAGATGCCATAAGCTCAATAATTTAAGAATCAACTCAAATCAGCCCTCTAATTAATCCATACATTTTATGATTGTAATTAACTTTTTTTATACATAACAATTCACAAAACTATAATACTTTCATTCAGTCACTAAACTGTTTCATACATAGTTTCCTCAATCTATTATAGTATTCTATATTAATATGGTGTTTATTAAACATTATAGAGGAACTACTTGCACAGAATATGTAATTTTCATGGATGCAGATGACATGTCAAATCATACAGCACCTATATTGAATAATCCCTTGCTATTCTATATAATTAAACTCTTAATTTTTCCCAAAATATACTACTATTTAAATTAAAAATCAATCTGCTTCGGTGAAGAAACCCTACATACTAAAATAACATCCTAAAATCATTTCATCATTCCATTAATAACACCAAACAGGTAGAAAGACATACACATTCCATCATCCTAAAATGTGAATTAATGGAACGAACTTGGCGTACACCAAACAGGCAAACACCACCACTGCCATTCGTTGTAACACCAAGGTATGCAAAAATTCACATTTCACAAGGGTTCTATATAATTAATAACACCACATACACAGAGCAATCAGGACCGAAAAAATCATCATACTAAAATCATTCCATCAAGCAAAACATTATAAAGGGACAAATTGTTATTCAAAATCATGGGCAATTACGACCAGTAAAATCAACATTCAACATCTATACAATGGAATATTATATTTTCATATTTTTACTTTGTACAGGCCTATAGGGGAATATTACACCATGGGTATGGGTAATCACTAAGGTATAGGGGGAACAACTTACGATGAAGAGGAAGCCATTGATGTTGGTAAAAAAAAAAAAGGAGACTGTTGTTGATGAAGGCTGAAGAGGAGAGCGTGTCGCCTCCCACTGTTGATGAAAAGGAAGCCATGAGCTGTTGATGATGAGAAACAAAGGAGATTGTTGCCATTGTTGATGAAGATTGAAAAAGAAGCCGTGAGTTGTTGAAGATGAAAAAGAAAAGAGATTGTTACTGCTGTTGATGAAAAGAAAGTCGTGAGCTGTTGATCTCATAGTGGCTGGTTAGTTGATCTCATGGTGGTTGCTGGTTGGTTAATAGAGAAGGAGATTAGGGATTTGTTCTCATTGAAAATGAAGAAAAGCATAGGGACGTAGGCGATGCACTGATGACTGGAGTGAAGACCGGACTCTAAAATGACTATACATTTACCTAGCCAATAGGCGCCAGACAACTGGAGCATGGAGGGAAACATTTACTTCAGTTTATATGTTTTGGTGAAATCATTTAACCGATCTTGAAATCGTGATTTTTTGTGATTTCACCCGATTTTAACGATTTCATCCCGATTTCAATCATTTTTTATTTTTTTTAAATGATTCAACACGTAAAGCTTGTTTTGACTCGTAAAATAGTATGATTTTACAAGTCAAAACACGATTTTAACAACATTAACAACATGTATTAATTAATAATGTTAACAAAACAAATTATCAGTACCTAACTAATTAGTTATCATTGGTTTAACTAAAATTTATTCAATCTATTTTAATAGTACCCTTAAATCATTATTAATCTTTTATAAAAATTCAAATTCCTCTAAATTTATCAAAAATTTCAACTTAATAATAAAATTGATAAAATGTGAAATATACCCATTAAATAAGACATTATTTGTCTATTTTAATAGTACCCTTAAATCATTATTAATCTTTTATAAAAATTCAAATTCCTCTAAATTTATCAAAAATTTCAACTTAATAATAAAATTGATAAAATGTGAAATATACCCATTAAATAAGACATTATTTGTTTTATTATAAAATATCTAAATTATAAAATCAAACTTAATTTTATCAAATGACAAACAAATATAATTTTTTTAAATATCAAATAAACCCTAACATGTACAAATCATACATTCAGATAATAAATTTCTTTGAAAAACGCTATAAAACAAGTAAATACACAAACAAACTATATATAAAAGATCAAAATACCAAAAACTTAATATTTTAAAATGGATTATAAAAAAAAGGTAATTTTGCATGTTTGATGTGGCGAATCTTCAAAAAAAAATTGAGTCAGAATATGGATGTTGATAGGTTAAGTATTCAGGTAGCTAGATTTGTAATGATAGAAGCTTGAATTTTGATAAAATATAAGGGTGTTGTGTGTTGTTTTCACTGGTAGCAGCAGATAAAGAAAAAGAAGAAATGGATGAGAGGAAAAGATGGGTTATGTGTTGGGTTATAACTTAAATATTAATGAGAAATTTACTTATGAGTATTAGCAACAAGTATATTTCCTCAGTAATTCAGTCTTTAATAATGATACGTTATTTTTTTATTATTGTTCCTTTATTTCTAAATGTATTTTTCATAGCACTCACCAATAAAAAAAAATCATCTATGTATATCTAGTGAAACAGTGAGTATATATTTTGTTAGTAAATGTCATTGTGATTTACTAATGAGTTTTTTTCATCAATATTTTTATTTATATTTTATAATTTTTATTTATTTATATTTTATAATTTTTTATTAGTGATAGACTTTTTTACTTAAAAAAACCATCTCCAGGTTTCATAAAATGGAAGCAAAATGTTTTTTTATATATATTATTAATAGTTTTCTCTTGTCAATCAGAAGCACTTAGAATTCTGATAGGAAAATCACAATTCTTCTTAATCTTCTTTCTTTCTATTTATTTTTACCTAGAGTGAATTTTGTAAACCAGGAGTTCAACCAGCAAAGTATTCGCTGATTTTTATGGTTTTAGAGCCTTAATATATACACCAAGAACGCCCTCGCCCAGGGTGCGAAAACACTGACATTTGTCTCTAGTTCTCGCCGGAGTAATCTTGGCCAATTAAGGAGCCTAGGTGCCTAATCCATATTTCCATGATTCCAGAGTAATCACATTTATTCTTGATCTTCTTTCTATTTAGTTATTTTACCTAGAAGGTTTACCGAATGAAATTGTTTTTAAAGATTGTTGAAATAACATGGTTTAGGAAAACTCTGGATCTGCCGTACGCATTTTTTAGCTTTTAGCTCTATGATCTGACATCACGGGCATAAACCTTCTTATGAGTAAAAATTTTCAGTATCCAGCTGTGATGTTTCACGCCAAAAAAAGAATAAAATAAGTATTGAACAAGACGTGTGTGTGTAAGACAAGAAATCATGTTCTTGAGCAATTTTATCTCTGGATGTTTATTCATTAAAGAAAAGTCTGGATCCTTGCCTAAGCTTCAAACAAAATTTCAACAGTTATATATCCCCTCTTCTTCCAATTCATAATTAACTTATACCCAAATTACAGGAAAACGGAGAAATTAATAAAATGTTAAAAAAAAAAAGGACACATGACAAATATTGTTTGTCTTCATTGAATAACAATCTAAAATACAAAAACACTAAAGTAAAAATCATAAAAACCAGATAATGTTTTTCAAATATTAAACAACCCAGTTGTTTCGCCCTTTACCTGAGAATCTGAGATGAAACGAGCATGCATGGAAGCAAACAAATTGTAGTTTCAGTTTAATGACCTCAGTAATTCTTGTGTTGAAGCTTCATTTGGTCATAAAATTTAGCAATGAACTGCTCAGCCTTCATGTCTATAGTTTCGTCCCCATATTTATCATCATAATAACTATCCTCATCCCCATCATCATCTTCATCACTCATATCAATTAGAAGATCTAGAAGATTTTGCGCCGATGCGTATTGGCTAGTTTGGCCCGACGAGGATGAAGCTATGCTTTTTGGGGCCGGCGAATAAGATGGGGTAAACACCTCTAAATATTGCTCAACAACATCCACGGAAGCCGCCGGAGGTGTAACTTTTGATTCTTCATGAACCGCCGTGGATGTCACAGGTGCCGGTGTGGCCTCGATGCGTTGTTGGTTGCTGTGAACGTGCAAAGGACGCATGAAAGACAAGTACTTCTTCCACTTCGAAGCAACATCTGTCTGGACAGATTTTGATTTGCCAGATCTTAGAGACAGCATATACACGGCCACCCTAAGGATGTGCATTGCACTGCGTCGCTTTTTCTTCTTGGTCTTTGGGACGCCATCTTGATGGTTGTTGACAGCACGGACAATATCAATGACGGCGTCTGATTTATGTTCCATTAATTAATTAGAGGAAGCGAAAAGAAACTGCCAATCTCAAGGGCTCTTCCCTGCAAAGAGCAGGGGGAGAAATGGCGACTCTTAAGAAAGAAATGCAAATATGGAACGCATGCATTTATATGTGCTCTTATGACCCTGAGGTTGTCATTTATTTATAATTAAATATAGCCACTAATTTAGGGAGGTAGCCATTTAACCAAGAATTTAGGGAGGTGAAGCGCGGAATACTCCCTAATGTTTGTTTGAATTCTACAATTATATAATATGCATGCACAAAAATTAGTGTGATGGGTTGTATACAACTCAGAGATACCCCTCATGATGCATTTAATCAGTATAGTTTGCCTGTTACAAAAACTCGATCTTGAAACTTAGCTGCGGAGAATAAATTAAATTTCCCTGATTTCTACGCCCATCTCTTTCCATAATTACCAATGACGTGCATGTTGGAGTTTGTGGTCTGCAAGTACGTACTTGCTTCTTCTTCTTCTTCTTCTTCTTCTTCTTCTTCTTTTTTGAGAGAGAGAGAGATGGGGTGTGCTACATGGATACGTGCTACATGGATAGTTACGTGCTACATGGATACAATGTAAAGTGATTGAATTAATTTTGAGTAATCTTCAGAAAAACTGACCTCGCATAGTTACGTGCTACATGGATACAATCTTTCATAATCTAACAGTTGCTTAGTGCAGTAGAATATGATTGCTGTAATTAATTCCTTAGACTCTTCACTATAGAAGAGCAAAAAGAACGATGGTACTTGTTGATCTTAACCAATTTTATTTTTAAAAAAATGAATTTAGGTTCACTCCGTTTTGAGGAAATGAGCCCAGAACCTTCCCATGCATTAAGGGAGGAATGTTGCTATTAGTGAAGCTAGTGCGCTATTTATGCTGATCTTACTCAATTTGAGCAATCATTTAACATTGTATTTGACCAAATGGAACATTTTTTTTTCGGCTAAGATTAAAATTTGCACAGATATATATTATTCTATATTTAATTTTTATTAAATAAATAAAAATATTGATATTTAAACTCGTAATTGTTTAGTCATCAATGCTCTGATACCATGTCAAATAAATAATTCAACCCAATAACTTTAGGTAAGGTTTCTATATATAATTTATATTATTCTCTAATAAATAAAAAATTACTAAGTAATCTATTTGTGATGTGTTGCGAGTTGGATTATATTTTTCTTGAATATTAAAGAAATATTCAGATATTGCTAATGTTTGTTTTAGCAAAAAAAATTAAATTGTTTGACAATTGATTCGATATAACTCAGTCGAATATGTGAATTCAAAAGCAAATCCATTAAAAACATAGTTTGACTAAAAAAGATTAAGATAACATCTTTTTTTTAATATTAAGATAACAATATATTACATTGAATTCGGTTAACCCGAGTTTTCATGTCAAATCTACGACCTGGGTTATGAAACTATGATAACTCAATATAAAACAAAACAAAATAAATTATAAAGTCTAATTCTCAATCAAATAAATATTGAATGATAAAATTAGAAAAAAAATAAAATAAAAAAGCAAACTGAATCAACTAGAACACGTGACCCAAGTCATAAGACAGAGATAACCTCATAAAAAAAATCAATTAAAAAATTAATATAAAAAAACTCAAGTCAATCCACTAAACCCGTGACTATTATAGAATGTTCCTGTATAGGAAATGTTATAAGCATATTCTTATATTATAATCTTCACCATTACTATTGTATATTGTCATATATATATATATATAAGAAGATTGGCTAACCAAGAGGTCAAGCCTCCTAATTATTCTTAGTTATGACTCGGTTATCAAACCAAAATAATCTGATTTAACTCGGGTTAACATATAAAATCCAAATCTATGATTTTGGTCATAAAACTAAGATAAGCTCTTAGAGAGAAAATTAAAACAAATTATAAAACTGAATTCTCAATCATTCTTGTTGAACCCGATACTGAATGATGAAATTTATAAAAATTTTAATTAAAAAATAACACAAAAAATAAGTCAAGTGAATCCAAGTTAACCTGTCAAGCATTATTCATTGTTCATGAGGCCGAAATAATTTAATAAAAACAAACCAAAGCAAATTATAAAAATTAATTTTCAATCAAATACAATATTATGATAAAAATTAAAAAAAAAATCAATTCAGAAAAACTAAGTCAATTAGATTAATCAACCAATCTCGTGACCTGAGTCATGAGATAAGAACAACTTAATAAAAAAAAAAAACAATGTTAAAGGACTTATAACCTGGATCATGAGTCTGAGATGATCTTTAAAAAAAAAACTCAATTTAACCATGGTTGAAACTTCAAAACTAGCAATCTTGATCATAAGACTAAGATATCCTCATAGAAAGCAAATCAAAACATATTGTGAAGTTTAATTTTCAATCAACCCAGTATTGAATAATGAAATTAAAAAAAATCAATTAAAAATAACTCATAAAAAATCACCCAAATATACTTAAATTAACTTTTTTAATCACTATTTTTGAGTCATTGCATCAAAATATCATAATAAAAAGTAAATAAAATAAATTATAAAATTTAATTTATATTTAATTTAATATTAAATAATAAAATTAAAAAAATAAAATTTAAATCAACATGGTTAACTTGCAAAATCCGGTGGACTACTGTTTGCTAATATTGAATTTGGAAATCAAAGGAACGTTTCTTTCTTTTATTTCAAATCCTCTTGCATTATTACCGTCCAGTTCCAGCATAGAAACTGGAGTAGTTAGCTGAAATTTGTGAGGAAAAAACACATCACTGCCTGTTCGATCAGTAGCCTCTCTTTTCTTTTTTTAAATCTCTCAGTCGCATCTCAGTAACTCAGTCAATTAGACCTGAGCAGAGGAAGATGCGCGCCTTCTTCTGTCATGGCGGAAGGCGACGTGCAAGCATTACTTTAGGCAAACAAGTCGTCAGGATTCTATTTCGAGAAAACAGACCTAAAAAACCAATCCATCGGCTCACTTTCATTTGCCACCGCGAGCTTCTCGCCGTGGTTGAACTGGTCTTCTCCATCCTTGATACCCCAACAAGCATTTGCTTTTGCTTTGCATGCACTAAAATTATCTATACACGTTATTCATGAAAATTAGTGACCCTGAAACATGGGTTCACAAAATCGGTGCAACTGTTATTATGTTATTGGGTATATATATGGTCATACAAGGAGAAGCTATACAACTCATCTTTGACATAGCTAGGTTTTTATAGATATTTGAATATTGCCCGGTCGTTCCAGTCCATTTATTGTTATTTTTCCTGTAAATATAATATTTAAATAATCCCAACATGTTATGCAAGGCAAATATTATATAATTATTTGGTTTTCCATTATCTTTTCCATCCCTCTATCTTAATATATATTGATTTGCTGTTTCTGCATTTGAAAATATATTTTAGTTGAAGACGTACATAACTGGAAAGAAGCCATGGTTTACGTGAAGCAATGATTTATGCTTACTTAATTTGGAATATTGGATGTCATCATGCACGTAAATTATTTGGAATATTCAGTTTAAATTAAGACTAACCAGTTAGTACGAAGGACCAAATACCATAAAACAAAGATTAAAAAAAAAATGTGGGCGTTTGATCGACATAAATTCCTCTCAAAAGAGAATGCATTTCATCACTTTTTGGAAAATAGGTTAAATAACCTGATTTTGTGTGCCAACAAATTTAACTCACTTTTCTTTTCTTTTCTTTTTTAAAATTACATTGTTCCTTTTATAATATACTTATTTTTTTTACCTTGTCTCTCTTCTCTTCTTTTAGAAATTATATTTTATATTTTAGATCAATTTCAATTTTTCAAATTAAACAAAAAGACTAAACTACCTTTATATATAATATATTAAAAACACTATAAATAAAAAATTAATTAAATAAAAAAATTCTTCTAACATTATTTCTCTCTCTCCTCTCCCCAGATATAAAACTAACCAAAATGTAACCTGGATTTTGATGGATTATTTATGCAAAAAGGTTTGTATCTCTAGGTTGATGTTGATGTTGATGTTTTGTTTTTATCAATGAGATCAAGAATGAGATAATTGGATTTCAGTTATGGACTAAGTTGTTTCATTTGTTACAGCCATGATAGATGTTCTTGATAGTTATCTTGGTGTGTATTATTGGTAGCCAATATAGTTTGTCAAAGGATGGAGCTATTATCGATAATGAATGCAAAGAGGGAAGTTATCAGTGGCACCTATTGTGAAGTGAGAGAGGGTGACTAGCCTTTTTTGGTTGGGTGGCTAAAATTGGTTTATGTTGTTAATAGTGTAGTAGCTTATAACAGTCTTAGGTTGAAAAGATGGTTAATGGTATATGTTTGGTGGCTCGATTTTAAGGAAGAAGACTTGAATGTTTTTTTTCTTTTATTTTTCTTTTTGCTTTTTTATCTTCCAATTTTAGTCTTATTTTTTTTTGCACGCTTTCTCTCTACCAATTGTGGCTAGAGTTTATTTGACTCACCCTCCTTTTCTCTCTGAAATTTTTTTCATATGGCTAGTGTTCTTTTTTGTAGGCACCTTGGATAGGTTTTTTTTTTTTTGGCTTTTTGTTCTCTATTCTTTTTTCTTCCCTTGATAACGACTAGGGTTTGTTTTTACATCTCTTCCCTTCTCTCAAAAATATAGCATCCCTTCTCTCAATACAATACTTCTGGTATTGATTTGAGTCCTGATGACACATAATCAATTTTTTTAGTATTGGTTTAAAATCCAACGATTCAATATAACAGTTCTGAATGCTTATAGAAAAATTTTATGAGTGCTCTTTAGGACCCAAACATGAAAGTCTTGTAATGACAGGGTTCAATGCAAACTCACTAGAGCCTTGTTGACAACAAAAACAAAGAAAAGTTTTACTTGATAAATGGGCTAAATTTCCTAGCAATGTAATTAAAAAACATTTCTTAGGATTTGACTAGAAATGTCCTTCCTTATGATCATTCTTAAGAAAATATTATTTTGAGATAATTTAAAAAAAATCATATAGCT